AACTAAATCCATCAACTTTGTAAGGTCTTAGTATCTGGTGCCTCAGAGAATTTAGGTTCCTAATAACTGATAAAGCTATGGGTCCCCAAACTGTCAGGAGAATTATTCATTTGCTTTTCATCTGTCCCGAAGTCATTTGCCTGGGAAAAAATAACATTCTTTCTACATTCTGGGCTGAGTCTTTGACGACAGGATCAAATGAGCCAAGCTTCCCAAATAATGGCATGATGCCAGAAATGCTTACCCTATCTCAAAGATGACTGGTGCAAGTGAATCTCTTCAGGAGCATGTTTTTCTCTTGTCACCACTGAAATTACTCCACAGAGGCCAGTATCCTGTCACCAAGTCACCCTTTATTCAAATATGAACAGTCCTTGACACTGATCCAGCTCTCAATGAACAGAACCTCCTGACACCCCTGTTTATATCTGTCAGCCAAGACTCCCTGATTGGACCAGGTTAACAGTCACAATCGGGGAACTCATTCTATGAGGTCTACCTGACTGACTCATTACAGTCCACGGTGGGGGTGGGGGTGGGGGTGGGTGTGGTGTGGAAAAGTTTATGGTCAGAAATAGTTGAATCCACTGTTGAGCCTTGGAGACTTTAAAGTAGCTTGGTTTACTGTGTTGGTAGCTGAGCCACAATTGATGCTCCCCTGTATCTTGAGTTTATTTTTGATTTCAGTATATATTCACTTCCAGTATATTAAAATTAAAGTGTTCATCGTTTGAGTTTTGTGAAATGATCCATGTACCAGAATAACCTTAAGATAAGTTTTAGCTCTTTGGTAACACTCATGCCTCTGAGCCAAAAGATCTTGGGTTTGTCTTCCACAGGAGAGATGTAAACATGGTCTGACCATTTACTGCAGTTCCGAGGGAGTTTGTCACTGCTGGAGATGCTGTCTGTTGGATGAGACATCAAGCCTGTGTGCCCCCACTGTTATATGTAAAAGGATTTCATGGCTCTGGAAAAAAGCGGTGTTCTGCCCATAGTTTCAGACAATATTTTTCCCTCAGCCACCATCACCAAAAAAGCAGATCAATTGGCTATTACTATATTTGCATTTGGTGGGAATTTGCTATGTACACAGTGCCAGTTTCTTTGGCTATATAGCAAGTCGCTGTACTTCATTGACTTTAAAGTGTTTGGGGTACCTTGAGATTCTTAAACATGTGAAGAAACTTGTTTATGAAAATGGACAAGTAAGCAATTAATTCCGATTTAGTGGATGGTATTGAAGGAGATGATAGGGTTTTTGCCTGCCAGCTGGAGAGCCAGCAGGATGTCCACCACCCCTCTTTTAGGTTCATCCAACATTGTCTCTGAATTGAGTGTCACTTGAGTACTTAACTGGTCAATAGCAGTAAATTCTACCCAGATTCTCTGGAATTTTTTCCCTCCGTAGTGCCTGAAATTGTATGATAAATATGGGATAAAGTAGGAATTGCTGCTAAGTTGCCTCTTGTTATCAGAAAGGATGCATAACACTATATAAGAAGAACATACTGATCCTAAATAATAACAGTACACATAACTGAAATTTAGTGGGGTAACTTGTTTGTTTAATTTTAGGGCATTTTTGTCTGAGATTCTTGTGTGTAGCTCCTCTACTCGTACCCCCTACTACTCCATGATCTGAGTGCCATTAGTTAGACTCTTAACCAGTTCATAGCACCCCTTATCCCTTGCTAGATTCGCCCTCTGACACCTTTGAAAATATTGATTATTGCTTCTCCTCCATAGTTCATTTCTGTGGTACAATGATTTTGTGATTCTAATTTTGCCTGTCCCAATATTATCACTGCATTTCCTTAAAGAATATTTCCTCCCATAGCCTGATGATCTGTCACAGACTTTTAATGTTTTGTAGTTGAAGAATGTGCTACTGCTTGATGATGTGTATTTATTGCAGTACAGTTGACTGCTTGTGTGATATCCCATCTAGATTAATTGTGAGTATCCATTCTGCACCAAATGTGAAGCTAGCCTGTTTAGCATCAATGTGAAGGTGACACCAACTCACTTCAAACTCCTTGCTGCACCTTCATTCTGAGACTAGCAGTACACAATATTGTTGTTCCATTAAACAAGTGAACTGGGTTTCCACATCTCTGTCAAACCTTTGTTAAGGATGTTCACCTGCCCGGATGCGTTCCATAAATGTTGCTCTTAGTGCTGAAACTTGACACTCAATCTTCTGACCACTCCAGTCATTGCTTCTGCCTCCATCATTGTAAGCCGCGGTTATTCCAGAACTGCTAAGTCCAGGTTCCCTCTCTCATACCTTTTACCTCCATCTTCAAATAGCTCTCTATGCTCCAGCAAATTGGCTTCAAGATTTTCAGTCGATCTGAGGGTGGAGCCAGTGGGGCTCAATTGCGTTATTGCTGGGATATATGCTGTATATGTGCCTTTGTATAGGAATGAGAACGTGGGAGTTTTGGAATGCTGGAAAAACTCAGCACATCTGGCAGCATCTGTGGAGAGAAATCGAAGTTAACATTTTGGGTCCAGTGACCCTCCTTCAGAATGCATGAAAATTTTGAGGCTAGTACAAAGGAGGACATAGAGCAATGCTAGAAATTGGGTGTTTGAAGTGAGACTCTTGAATGAATATTTTGCTGGAAAGGGGAGATTTAGACTTTTTAATAAAATTTTTAAGTTTTAATTTGGATCTCCTAATATTTGATTTAGCTGAGGATACAAAATTGAGTTTGGAAGAGGGAAGGTGTAAAGGAAATATTTGGAACAGACTGTACCATGAGAGTTCTTTGTATTTTTTTTTTGGTAAAAGTGATTGTGGATTATATTTAGGGAGCAGCGTGTTTTTTTTTATTAAATTTTGGTAGCTGTCAGATGGACTGCACTGGTCTCTTCTAGTTCTGAGTGTTTCTATGTAACTGTCTTGATGAAATAATCTCCACATAGGAAATAGGAACTGAAGTTGATTAATCAGCCTCAAGCCAGCCATTTAATAAGATTATGGCTTCTGTTTGTATTTTGAGTTCCACCTTCCTATTTCCCTGCTGATCCTTGATTCCACTGTCTAACAGGAATTTATCCACGTCTTTCTTAACAATATTTGACCCTCACTCCACTGACTTCTGTGGCAGTGTTCCAAAGTTGTACAATCTCTGAACCACCACCAATGCATTTACATCCTTCCTTAAATAAGAAGGCCAGAACTGCACATAGTGTGTGGTCTCTGTGTAACTGTGTAACTGAAGCATAATATCCTTATGTCTATGTTAGTTCCTCTTGTAATAAAAGATACATTCCATTATCCTCCTTTGATTAAATCCTGTACCTTCACACAACTACTTTGTGCCTCAAACACCAAAACACACACGTCCTTGTACGCCTTGGAATTCTTTACTCATTCTCCATTTAAGTAACACTGCTTTTTTAATTGTTCTTGCCAATATGAGCAATTTCACTATTCCAATATGAAACTCCACTTGCTTGAATAAAACAAACAACTTGATGCTAGATTTTTCTGAAGAAGGGTCTAAACCCGAAACATCAGCTTTCCTGCTCCTCTGATGCTGCTTGGCCTGCTGTGTTCATCCAGCTCTACACCTTGTTATCTGTTAACTTGATGCTGGAGATGTGAAACAAATAAATACAATTTGCTGGGGTAACTCAGCAGGTCTGGCAGCATCTGTGCAGAGAAAACAGTTGACTTTGTTTTTTGTCCACAGATGCTGTCAGATCTGCTAGATTTTTTGCCCATTCACTGAACCTGTCCATATCTGTATGAAACTTTCTTCTGACTTTTTCACAACAATTTCCTACCTATCTTAATGATATCAGAATTTTGCTACTGTGCTTTTGTTCTATTCATCTATGTCATTAATAATTTGAAGCCCCAGCATTGATTCCATAAGACTCCACTCATCATATCCTGCCAGTCAAAGACCCATATATACATAATAAAAACCAAAAGAACTGCGGATGCTGTAAATCAGGAACAAAAACAAAGTTGCTGGAAAAGCTCAGCAGGTCTGGCAGCATCTGTGGAGGAGAAAACAAAGTCAACTGTTTTCAAAACAACTTAATGTTGGTCCCTCTACCTTCAGATTGGTCTCTCTACCTTCAAAAACCTACAGCTAATTTTCCCTGTACAATTTGTTATATGGTTAAATTCTTTGCTTCTGTTTAGTGTCCCCTCTCTTCCTCAGTAAGTACTCAGGGACTTCCTGTCACAAGAGATGTTATAGTACGCAGGAAAAAGTGCTTGTTTGTGTGCTTTTTTTTTGAAAGGAAGTCAGCATAATGTATTACGTTTCAAGCGTTCTGCCAGACATGGAGGAAAAATATTTCACTTGTGTATTGCCTTTTATGATGATGTACATCCTAAGATACATAACATGAAATTAAGCACTTTTGAAATGGTAGTAACTGTAATTTTATTGGGACATGTGATGGGTAAGGTGCACAGCAATACCATAGTCAGATTCATCAACGGACAATTTGTTTTAGCTCAGTTGGTGGAAAGAATAATGCTGTTCAAGAAACTGGGAGATCTCCATTGCCTTTGATTAAATAGTGTCATGGGATCTTCTTCATTCATCTTAGAGGGCAGGCAGGTTCTTTTTATTTGAATGCCAATACTGAAAGTGTTCAACTCCCTGAGCACTTGAGAAGATATGTCATGGTAGTGCCTCTTCTTTTTGAACCACAACAGCTTACATAGTATTTGTGCTGCCGCAATGCTATTAGTTAAGTAAGTTGACCCAATCATGATGAAGTTAATAATGTATATCGATGGATGTGGTTGTATATGACTTGGAGGTAATTATGTTCCTATGGACCTGATGACTAAAGGGGCTAAAGGTGATGCATTTGGTAGGTCCATGATATCTCAGTGTCTTAATCGGAGAAAATGTGCCTAACAATTTACCTGGTTTTATAACGATTTGGGAAACCGCATTATTGAATTGGGGACTGTCATAATTGTTTGGCTTTCTCAATTGATTTTTTTTTTTGCACAGGGACGATCTGTGTCACTGACTACATTTTATCGGACAGCTAGAAACATGATGAATATGTGCTTTAGTAAGGAACCAACAGCAGCTGAAGTGGAGGTAGGAGTCTGAAGTTGTACATAAACTTTAACATGTTCCCATTTTAATAGTTTGGTTTATGCTTAAATGTGTGATTAGGGATTTCAATGAAATAGCTGAAATATACCAATAAAGGGAATAGAAATCCTTCTGTTCCATTTAACTGTGATATGCCTTTGTGCTTTTAGTACAAGGTGGCACTGAGCAGGATTTGGAAAGGAGGTGGCTGTGGGAGATAAAGGGGAGAATTTGACCAGGGGTCTGACTTAAATTTTTGGTATTTACTAGTCACTGTAATAATTGTGCTTTGGAAGTGAAAGTGGAACATTTTTTTTTGAAACAGCACAGTACAGGCCCTTCGGCCCACGATGTTGTGCCGAACTTTTACCCTAATCCTAAGGTCTATCTAACCTCCACCCCTACCTTATACTATCACCCATATGCCTATCTAATAGCAGCTTAAATGCCCCTACTGCGGCTGACTCCACTACCCTGTCCAGCAATGCATTCCACGCCCCTACCACTCTCTGAGTAAAGAACCTACCTCTGACGTCTCCTCTGTATCTACCTCCACTCACTTTAAAACTATGCCCCCTCATAATAGCTACCTCCACCCTAGAAAAAAGTCTCTGGCTGTCTACTCTGTCTATACCCCTGATCATTTTGTACACCTCTATCAAGTCACCTCTCATCCTTCATCGTTCTAAAGAGAAAAGCCCTAGCGCTCTCAACCTTTCCTCGTAAGACCTTCCCTCCATTCCAGGCAACATCCTGGTAAATCTCCTCTGCACCTTTTTCAATGCCTCCACATCTTTCCTGTAATGAGGCGACCAGAACTGGACACACTACTCCAGATGTGGCCGAACCAGGCTTTTGTATAGCTGGAGCATAACTTCACGGCTCTTGAACTCAATCCCTGTATTAATGAAAGCTAACACACCATACGCCTTCTTAACAACTCTATCCACCTGGGTGGCAGCTCTCGGGGAACTGTGAACATGAACCCCAAGATCCCTCTGCTCCTCCACACTGCCAAGAATCTTTCCGTTAACCCTGTATGTTCTTTCGTGGTTTGTAAAGATCTGGGGATGGGGAAAGCTAAAAAAGGCATGGGAGTTTTAGGATTTGCAAGTATATACTTTGCAAAACATGTTCTGAAAATCTAAATGCAAACCTGTACCTGATTGCAGGATGAAATTAGTAGACTTCTACCACTATAGATTGACGGCAGGTAGAGCAAATATCCACTGCTATGGTAAAGCTAGTTTATGAAGTGCCTTTTGACACAGGCAATCGTTATATTTATTTGATGTTAATTTGTATATTAGAACAATAATGCTCTTTCAGCTATATACGTATTTATATTTATAAATAATTGTTGGCAGACTGTTTGCTTTGCTTTACCGATACAATAACTGAGTTAACTTCATTCCTGGTTTTACTTGCCAATCACAACAGCATGAATTTCTAATAATCTAGCATCTTGTTTACTTCATTTATCTTCAAATCCCAGAAGTTATGCTGAATCTGTATAGTGCCCTAGTCAAACTATTTCAAGGTTCCTACCTATCTGATCGTCTACGGACCAGGTTGGAAGACTTTCAATGAGGTATAAGCTTTGAAAAAGGTCACAGAATCACCTGAAGTGTTATGATGCAGAAGGAGGCCATTTAAACCATCGTGCCTGCACTGGCTTGTTAAATGAGCCTCGTTATAAAGTTATACAGCACGGAAATAAACCCTTCAGTCCATGCTGAACGTATTCCTAAATTAAACTAGTTCCATCTGCCTGCTCCTGGCGCATGTCCCTCCAAACCTTTCCTATTCGTATATCCATTCAAATGTCTTCTAAATGTTGTAATTCTACCCACATTCACCACTTCCTCAGGAAGTTCATTCCACATGTGAACCATCTTCTGTGTAAAACAAAATTGCCTCATGTCTTTTTTTAAATCTCTCTCCCCTCACCTTAAAAATGTGCCTCCAGTCTTGAAATTCCCCATCGCAGGGAAAAGACAACTACCATTGAGTTATGAGGATAGATTGAATAAACTAAGACTGTTCTCCTCAGAGAGAAGGCAGCTCGGAGGAGTTCTGATGGAGGCTTTCAAAGCCAAAAATAGTTGGATAGAATAGATAGACAGAAGCTGTTCCTGCTTGTAAAAGGATCGAGAAAAGGAGGGCACAGATATAAGGTGATGTGCAAAAGAAACAAGGATGAAATGAGGGAAAATCTTTTTTACTCAGCAAGTACTTAGGGTATGGAATGTATTGCCTGGAAGTTTGGTAGAAGCAGGTTCAACTGAGGCATTCAAGAGAGCGTTGGATGATTATTTGAACCCAAATAATGTACAACATTCTTCCTGTAATGTGGCACCCATAACAGTGCACGATATAGTAGATGAGGTATAACAAGGGTCTTGCAGAAGTTCAACATCACCATCTTGCTCTTGAAATCTATGCCCTTATTAATAAAGCTGAGGTACGTATGCTTACTGTGTTCTCTTCCTGTCCCACACTTTCCTTATAACTTAAACCTTCCATATCCGGCAACACCCTGGTATATCTCTTCTGAATTGATAATATCCTTTCTATAACTGGGCGACCAGAACTGGACACAGTATTCCAGAAGAGGCCTCACAAATGTCCTGCACATCCCCAACTCCTATACTCAAAGGACTGAGCAATGAAGGCAATTGTGCCAAATGCCTTTTTAACCATCCTGCCTATATGTGACTCAAACCTCAAAGAATTATGTACCTCCACCCCGGGTCCCTCTGTTCTACAACTCTACCCAAGGCCCTACCATTATTGTATAAGCCTTACCCTTGTTTGTTGTAACAAAATGCAATACCTTGCATTTATCCCGATTGAACTCCATCTGCCGTTTTTCAGTCCATTGACCCATTTGATCAAGATCCCTTTGTAATCTTAGAAAACCTTCTTCACTGTCTACAATGCCACCAATTTTGTTGTCATCTGCAAACTTACTAACTGTGCCTTCTATATTCTCATACAAATCATTTATATAAATGACAAACAAAAGGGGCCCTATGGATCGCTGCTGGTCACAGGCCTCCAGTCTGAAAAGCAACCCTCCACCATTACTCTCTGTCTCCTGCCATTAAGCCAATTATGTATCCAATTGGCAAGCTTACCCTAAATCCCATGTGATCTATCTTTACTAATTAGTCTACCAAGGTTTTAGGAACCTTGTCAAAGGCTTTCCTAAAATTCAAATAAACAATGTCTACTGCTCTGTCGTCATCAGCCTTTTTGGTAACTTTCTCAAAAAACTCAATCAAGTTTGTGAGACACTGTTTTCTTCACACAAAACCATGCTGACTATCCCTAATCAATTTTTGCCTCTAAGTGTCCACAAACCCGATCTTTTATAATCACCTCCAACAATTTACCCACAACTGAAGTCAGACTCAGGTCTACAGTTCCCCGGTTTTCTCCTTACAACCTGTTTTAAACAATGGTGCAACATTACCTAGTGCCAATCCCTTGCTCTTTCCCCATCCCCATACCGTTGTACATTATTTTGATCCAAATAATCATCCAATGCTCTCTTGAATGCCTCAATTGAACCTGCTTCTACCACACTTCCAGGCAGTACATTCCATACCCTAAGTGCTTGCTGAGTGAAAAAGATTTTCCCTCATTTCATCCTTGTTTCTTTTGCACATCACTTTATATCTGTGCCCTCCTTTTCTCCATCTTTTTACAAGCAGGAACAGCTTCTGTCTATCTACTCTATCCAGCTATTTATGACTTTGAAAGCCTCCATCAGAGTTCCTCCTAGCCGCCTTCCCTCCTTTGTTCACATCCTTCCTATAATGTGGCGCCCATAACAGTACACAGTACGCTAGTTGAGGTCTAACAAGTGTCTTGCAGGAGTTCAACCTCCCCTCCTTGCTCTTGAACTCTATGCCCCTATTAATAAGCTGACTTACTTGTGCTTACTGTGTTCTCTTCCTGTCCCGCACTTTCAAAACCTATGCACGTATACGCTCAGAAACTCTGCTCTTGCACTGCCTAAGATTTATACCTTTATTTTATAAAATGTATCACCTCATAAATCTCTGTTTTGAAACTCATGCCACCTATTTGCCTATTTCACCAACTTGACTATGTCCTTCTGGAGTTCTACACTCTCCTCATCTCAGTTTACAATTCTCCCAAGTTCTGTGTCATCTTCAAACTTCTGAAATTGCTCCTTGTATACCGAGATCTAGACAATTATTATATATTAGGAAAAACAAGGTTCCAAGTATTAACTGCTAGGGTACTCCACTACGAACCTTCCTTCAGCCTGGAAAATATCCATTAATGAGTACATCCTGTTTCCTATCACCTCAGCTAATTTTGCATCCATGTTGCTACTGCCCCTTTTATTCCATGCCTTTAACTTTCCCCTCAAATCTGTTGTGCACTGTATTAAACACCTTTTGAAATTCTATGTATTCCACGTCAACAGCATTATCCTCATCAAGCCTTTCTGTTGCCTCTTCAGAAAACTCCAAGTTAATTAAACATTTTTTCCCCTTTAGAAATGTATGCTGACTCTTCCTAATCCAGCTATTTTTTTTCCATATAGCTGCTAATTCAATCCTAAACAATTGTCTCTAAAAGCTTCCCTACCTCTGAAGTTAAATAACTGATTTGTAATTGCTGGGTTTATCCTTGCAACCTTTCTTGAACAAGGCCATAATGTTTGCAATTTTGCAGTGTTATGGCGCCTCCCTTTAGTCTAGGGAAGACTGAAAGATTGTCATCAGTGTCCTCTCAATTTCCACTCACATTTCCTTCAAAATCCTTGGATGTATCTCATCCAGTCCTTGTGTCTTGTTAATACTTCTGTCCTGCCAATTTTAAGCCTTTCTAGTGATAGTGTTCCCTCCCCTGACAACATGGCCGTGGTAGCATCTCTCTTTGGTAGACAGATGCAAAGTATTCATTTAATAGCCTCCAGGTGTATATCGCTATTTTATCCTCTAATTGGCCTAATTCCTCCTTTTATATGGCTGTATAGAGGTCTTTCTGACACCTTTTTGTTTGCTGTCAGTCTTTTCTTATAATTCCTCTTTGCTTCTCTTATTTGCTTTTTCACTTTCAATATTTGTCTTAACCCTCAATTTTATTTTCTACCTGACACTTGTCACAGGCACACATTTTGTTGTCTATCTTAATTTCTATCTTTTTTGTCATCCAGGGAGCTCTGGATTTGTTTGTTCTACCTTTCCCATTTGAAGAAAATTCCTTGACTGTAGCCAAACCATCTCCTCTTTGAAGGTAGCCCATTGTTCAGTTATTGTTTTTCCAGGCAATTTATCTTTCCAGTCAATCCTGCAGAGCTCTGTTCTTGTCCCGTTTAAGTCCGCTCTCCATCAACTGTTTTTTCTTAATCTGGATTGTTTCATGTGATTCTCTACCCTCATCCTGAACTTGTCACCGGTGATCACTGCATTATCGATCTTGGCCGTACAAATCAGACCTCAGAAAGAATCCTATAGCGTACATAAGACATTTAATCATCACTAAATCCAAAATTTTATTTTCATGCAACCAAGTAAAACCATGGCGTAGAGAAGACAGAAAACACTTCCTTTGTACAAAAGAACCCAGTTGGAATAAATTGTCAGGATGAATGTTTAAGGTCAGGGCACTGAGCTAATTCTAGAAAGATCTCAAAGTCATATTAAAGGAGCACTGTTGGGACCAGTTTGATAGAAGAATCAAATTGAATGAGCCAAACCTTTTGTAACCTGTCAGGAAGGGTATTATTCAACAGAAAATGAAGGATGATCTAACGTGCAATGTCATATCGAAAAAAAAAATTAAATACAATTCTTGCTTCACCTGTTTCTTATGGATTTTGTCTTTCAGATTCTCTGTGATCCTATTATTGTTTTAGTATGCATATTTCTGTTTCCCTTGAATCAGACTCTAATAGCATATGTTTTGACATGAATTCATTTGAAAATACCTGTTTTACTTAAGACTCAAAAATTGGACCTTATTGGTCTTCTGTTTTTAACTGTCACCTTCGATATGGCATCTTCCAATTTATAGTTATATATCGCTTATAGGAACTTAGTGGCAAGCTTTTACTTTGTGTCATTATTTGTCAACCTGTACTATCAACAAAAGTCTGTTATATAATAGTTTCCTTGAGAAACGTAAGGACATAACTGAAAAAGATTTCATGGGAGCGCAGGCTACTGTGCAGATTAAATGTTTCCATGCGCAAATTTCCTTTTATGCAGTTATTTTATATAAAATGTATGTTGCATGATGCATACTTTTGGGCTTTGCCATGCAAACCATCAACCTTCATGACATGGGAGAGATTTAGTCTTCCAGGACTTTGCAGTTGTCAGATTGGCTTTGTCTTTGAAGGAAAATGCAGTTTGCAAATAGGAGTTCACGTGTGCTGTTCACATTTTTCATGACTGCATAGCTGAATTTAATGTTACAGATGCAGGACCATGGCTCTGAAACTGTGTCTTGGCAATTTTTGAAGGTTAGCTCTGCAGTAACATTCCCTCTCTTTCATTCCAACAACAGCAAGAATACTGGAGGGCTGTGGAGCAGAAAGACTCCCACGTAGCAGTGCATTCTGGAAAAGTAGACACAAAAGCACATGGCAGTGGGTTCCCTGTTGGGAAATCAGAACCTTTTTCAAGGTAGTGTCTCTTTTATAAATGGCAAATCATGATGGAAATTGCAGAATGTTTGTGTTTATCATTGATCTTTGAAGCCAAATTTTTTTTGGCTAGAAATTATTTTGTGAGGGCCGAATGACAGGATATTTCCCAGATTTTCAAACATGTTTATCTTTTCTACGAACAGGCATGGATGGAACCTTACAGTCCTTCCTAATAATTCAGGGTCCATCCTGCGACATTTTGGTGCTTTGTCAGGTAAGGAATGCGGAGTAAGTGAGTGTCGGGGGAGGAGAAGATACTGTTTAGTTTAAGATGGTGGACCTTTCTCAAATCATTTAGGAGGGTTTTTGTGTGAAAGGAGTAGAGACTGTAAGGTGAGACAGGATTCCTACAAAATTAATTAAAAATATAGGTTAGATCCTAGTGAGTTTTTTAGCAAAGAATTATCACCTCTTTAAAACAAGATTCCACAACTTTTGATGAGTATGGGGTCGCCCCTTCACAAGTCCTTGAGCTTGATGTTTTCTGATACCAATAAAGAGGGCAGTTAGTTTAAATTGTGATGCATCACAGGTAACTCCCAGCTCCTGGAGCTGTATTGCCGTTGGAGATTGGAAATTAATTTCCCAAACTTTCATTTCATAATAGGTCATAGCTATTTCTTTCATCCTTACCCCAGTGGCAATGTTACCAAAAATGGGAGGACATTTTAAACAAAATGTTTCAGTGGGATGTGGGTATAGCTGGAAGAAAACAGCATTTTGTGGCTTGCTTGGCTATTTCAGAGGGCACTTGAGAGTTAACCACATTTCGGTCTGAAGTCACACGTAGGTCAGATTGGGTAAGATTGGTGGATTTCATTCCTTAAAAGACATTAATGAACCAGAAGGGTTTTTATGACAGTCAGTAGTAATTTCATAGTTAGAATTACTGAAGCATGCTTTCAATTCTAGATTTATTTTTCAGTGAATTTAAATTCCGCCAACTGTCTTGGTGGGATTTTAATTGGTGTGTCCCTAGAGCATTAGTCTGGGCCTCTGGATTACTAGTGAGATGACATTACCACTGTTTAGCTTGCGGTGCCTATGCCTTCCATGGGGATGGAATTAGCATGATAGTTATTTCTAGCCTTTTTCTTTTATATTTTTGTACTTTTATAGACTTTTGTCAGTCTAAATTGTAGTGGACAAACAAACTGGCCTGGGAGATCCATGGCTGTGTTTCATATACAGTAGCTCGTTTAGAGTCTCTTAAGAAAATGTCAGCCTCTATGTCCTGATTTTGCTACGATTTATATTTTCTTTTTAGGAGTGACGATTCCTTGGCTAAACATTGGCATGGTTTTCACTACCTCATGCTGGTCACGAGACCAAAACCACCTTCCGTACATTGACTACTTACACACTGGTGCTGATTGCATTTGGTAAGTGCCTGCCCTGGGGAGGGGAGTCTCTCCCTTGCTAGCCCCACTTTCAGCAGAGCAGGTTTGGATTGATCAGTGACTATCTCTGGATTTGGGTTTGGCTAATCAGCCTATTCTATCTCCCAACACACACACAGGTCAATTCTCGTCAGATACACCTCTTCCTTTAATGTTGCATTGTGGGGTACCGGCTTGGAAAATAATATTGATTGATGCATTTATGGAGCTCTGATTTGAATTTTCATGCCAGAGAACGGACTCAGAATAAATCCGTTTTTCCAAACGGCGATGTCTTTTTTTTTACTTTTGAAAATTCAGTTTCATTCTGAATTGAATTCAACTTCCCTATTTATACTTTTAAAAAAAAAACCAGGTTAGCTATAGGTTTGGATTCTTTTTGAATTCATTGCCTCGTTATAAATGAAGCTTCTTATGGCTGGTCCTCACTTGACTAGTTTGGTCTTCAAGTGTCACCAAGTACTTTATTGTTGAGGATAATAGTTTTTTTTAATTCTTCCACCAGATTGAACTGAAGACCTGCTTCACTGACACAGAAGTGAGTTAAATTTTTTGTCCATATCCTTAAATTACCTTTTAAAATTGCATTAATCAAATGACCAGTTAGCCAGCATGGACAGAACTTGGCATATCTGTGTCAGACAGGCAGAGTGTTCAGCACTTTAAAAGACGGGCTGGAATGAGGTGCAACTTGCTGTTCGTTTAAATTATCCTCTTCAACTCTCATATCTGCCCCTCCCTCAGTTTCAGTTTTGCTGCACTGTTTTTAATTGTCTTTTTTTTTGCAAACTGCTTGTGTGGCTCACTGGAGTTGACACCGTTTTGTCTTAATTCAGTGCATCTTGAGATGCATGTGGGTGGACAGAGGCTTCCTGGTCAGACCTGATGCCATAATCGAAGGGTCCGATAAAGCTCAGTGCTGCGGAGGTTTGCGGATTTGAGTCTTGTGCCATCCTAGTGAGATGCAAAGCAGCAAACCCAGGTATATTTATAAATCATTGAAACAAGATTGAAATGTAATTTATTTTCTTGAGCAAGCTCTTTAAGTTGAGATGCCCCTTAATAGTGTATTTATGAACAGCTTCAGTTACCTTTCTCAACTAAATGGAAATATTCAGATTTTTATGGAAATATTGATCGCATGTTTGGCACAAACTCCATGAATGCAAACTGCTTTCGGATCTAGCATACTAGGTAGCCAATCTTAGAGAAGAAATCTCCCCAGGAATCATTACAAGCGAGTGATCTCACCATTAAGTGTAGAGCTGCAAACTAAAATTAGTTCAGTAAACCCTGGTCACGTTGGCTTCTGTCTGCACTACTTGTTTGAAGACCATCGATTGATGGGAGTAGTAAACTCCTACTGACCACTACTTTGAAGATTGTTAGCTAACTTTCAGAAATGTGACCCAAACACATCCAATGCACTTTGCAAATAAACCAACTAAAGAAACACTGATAATTGAATAGTAAAATTTGATTATTCCAACAATTCTGCTTCTGTGAATGGCATGACAATTACATTTTTTGTGAGACATAACGTTTTCTAACTGTTCCTTTAATCATTTATATAAGTATTCTATTTGTTCCAATGCTTCCTCTGTGGCAGGTGAGACATTAATACATGCAACTCAAAAGAATAAAAAGAGGATTGAAATATTTCAAGCTTGCTTGATTGCCTTAGAAGGTCGACAGATTTGATCTGATTCCGTTAATTTGCAATAAAATTCTAAAATAGTTTTATAAAGCTCTATTTCCTCTTGAACCAATCACTGAGGAAATAGGTCAACCCAGAGCAACCATGCTTTTATATTTACAAACTTGTAGTTCAGGAGAAACTGCAAATAATTTGGAACAAGTGGATTGTTTGGTAAAAATTGGAAAAACAAAATCTGGTTCTTTTGGTTGTTGCCATATCAGACTTCTGGATTGTATTGTACAATTTTGCATAAGATTAATAGAGGACTTGATCGAATCAATTGTAAATTTTATTTCAGCTTCTTCATCCAAACATTTCTGTTGGCTTGACCTATTGCCAATTTATTTGATGTGGAGCAGTTTTGTCATAGAATCAATTCAGTACAACAGGCGACAATTCAGCCCTATGTTTGTGGAGAGTTGAGACAGTCCCGTTTCCCTGCTCTGTTTCTATAGCACTGTAAATTTTATTTCCTTCAAGTGCCTGTCCAATTTCCTTTTGAAATCCGTCTCTGCTTCCATCATTCTCATAGGTAGTGTTTAAGATAATTGCTATTTGTCAAGTACAAATGTTCAAAACTTTTGAGAAGATTTGTAGCTTGAGTTGTGGATTTGCTACTGTGTTTGATTGTATACATCCGTCGTATCTCCTCTCAATTGCCTTGGAAGGAAAGCAACCTCAGCTTCTGCAATCTAACAGTTTAACAAAAATTCTTCATCTGCCCCCTTTCAAGGATTCCGCATTTTTCCTACAGTGTGGTGATCAGAGTTGAACATAATTCTTTAGTTATGTCTTAACCAGAGCTTTATATATGTTTTGCATAAGTTCCCTGCTTTTCTGCACAGTACTTCTGTGTATGAAGCCATAATTCCATTCTTGCTAGCCAGGCTCTCAATATGTCTTGCCATTTTCAAAGACATTTGCAAATGCATCCACCGGTCCTATTGTCTTTAAAAGCTATGCTTTTTATGCTATTTTGCTCCTCCTTTCTACATCATCTCATAATTCGATCAATCCTATCAATCTCTTGTTTGTCAATTTTATTAGTCTATTTGTTTCTTGTTACAGCTGATTAATATCATCCTCACTATTTGCCACAAAAAGCAAGAGTCCTGGCAAGAATCCTTGGTGATCACTCAATCTTTGGTGAGCACCATTCTCTGCTGTTCTCCAGTCTGAAGAAAAAAAAATCCCTCCTCTTTCTTCAAACCTTCTTTTTAATCGAAACGTGTTTTAATCAACCTGTTAAGATATGTTATGACTCATCTCTGGAGCGGGTGGGTCTCGAACCCTGGACTTCTGGCCCAGATGTAGGGACACTACCATTTTGCCATTTACCTAAGCTGACGTTGACTCCAGTTTTCAGTGAGCCTCAGTTTTGTTAACAGCCTTTTATGTGGTACTTCAGTTAAGCATATTAAGACTCTCATATTAATACCATCAACTGTTAACATTATTACATCAAAACATTCAGTTATATTAGTCAAACATGATCTGCTTTTCACAAATTGGTTGTTTTGAATCAAGTCCGATATCTCCAAGTGCCTGCTAACTTTTCCCCTGTTCATTGTTTCTAAAACCTTACCTATCGCTGATCTTAGTTATTTTAGTCAACCTGTTCAGACATGCTGTGACACACCTCTGAATCCAGATCTTCTGGCTTAGAGGAAGAAAAATATCGCTGTACCACACAACTTCTCTGTTATTGATTTTGAGCTTAACCTGTCTGTAGTTGCTAGGAATGTTGCAACACTCTTTCTTGAATAATAAAGTTGGCACATCTGCTACTTTACAATTGCTTGGCACTTGGCCCATTATTTAGGAAAGATTGGAAGATTGTGGCTATCTATATTGCTACTACCCTTAGCAATCTGGAATGCGTCACCAAAATTGGTGGTGTAGTGGACAGCGAAGAAGGTTACCTCAGAGTATAACGGGACCTTGATAGTATGGGCCGAGGAGTGGCAGAAACTTATACACTTAATGGTAAGGACATGGGAACTGTTGCTGAACAAAACGACCTCGGCGTGCAGGTTCATAGTTCCTTGAAAGTGGAGTCGCAGATGGACAGGATAGTGAAAACGGCATTGGTATGCTTGCCTTTATTGGTCAGTGCATAGAGTAGTTGGGAGCCCATGTTGTGGCTTATCAGAAATTGCTTAGGCCGCTATTGGAATACTGTGTTCAATTCTGGTCTCCCTGTTACAGGAAAGATGTTGTTAAACTTGAAAGGGTTCAGAGAAGATTTACAAGGATGTTGCCAGGGTTGGAGAGTTTGAGCAACGGGGAGAGGCTGAAAGGCTGGGGCTATTCTCCCTGGAGTATTGGAGGATAAGGGGTCACCTTATAAAGGTTTATACAATCCTGAGGGGCATGGATGGGGTGAATATTCAAGGTCTTTTCCCCAGGGGAGGGGAGTCTAAAACTAGAGAGCATATGTTTAAGGTGAGGGGGAAAGTTTTAAAAGGGACCCTTGGGGCAACTTTTTCATGCTGAGGATGGTGAGTGTATGGAATGGACTGCCAGAGGAAGTGGTGGAGGCTAGTACAGTTACAACATTTGAAAAGCATCTGGATGGGTATATGAATAAGAAGGATTTAGAGGGATATGGGCCAAATGCTGGCAAATGGGACTAGATTAATTTAGGGTATCTTTTCGGAATGGACGAGCTGGACCGAAGGGTCTGTTTCCATGCTATGTATCTCTATGACTCTGTTTTCTGCACCAGATGACTTTTCTGCTCTAAAACTAGCAAGCCTTTCCAGTATCTGCTGCCGGTCAGTTTTCAACCCATACATTTTTTTCTCTGGTGTTAGAGCTTCTACTGATATTTTGATTGAAATCCACTGTGTTCTTCCTGAACATTGATTAGTAATCAGAAGTGAGAGCCCTGCCTGACTCTTTGTACCCCTTCCCTTTTGCCTATCCTTTTGCGATAAGTATTAGTAGCAGCCTTCCTGTTGTCCCATCTCAGACTAATAACTCAGTTTATGTCAGGGATCAAATTTATGACGACCTTAGCTCAATTACACGTGAACTGAGGCAATTGATGGTAAATGTTTTGACAAAATGCAAAATCTCCAGCTGCAGTCCAGTGAATGGAGAAAATTAAACTGGAAACTAAGCAAAGAAACTTTTTTTTTTAAATGAAGTCTTGGAGATGCAGTGAAGATTGTATCCTGGTCTGAAGACCATAATTCCACAGAATGATTTTGAACTATAAACAGCATGGTAAGTATATCCTCATTGATATTTGGGAAAGGACTGTCTTCTGGAGCATTTTTGTGATTTCATAAAGTACACTTCTTAACAAATATACATTGAGAATAAAAGCCTTTTAAACCTTTAAAAAAGACTGTGTGTGTGTGTTGGGGGTGGTGGTGGAATAACAAGGAAAATGACCAGCTCTGCAACAAATCCTCTATTGTCTGTGTACAGTTGATAAACTTGTGTTATTGGGAACACTGGGCTATTTGTCATTTGTTAGGTGTGTCTGTAAATTTTCCACAGGTTAAATAGAAGCTCTGGAAAAAGTAATCTCTTCACCACCACAAGCTGTAGTCCAGATTGGTAGCTGGTGCCATTTATGTCCTGTTTGCCTCAAGCTTTGGACTGTGACATTTTCAGCTATCTTCCTTTCTCCAGGTATTGTATTCCTGCTGAGGAGAAGAGCAAACTTGATGAAGTGGTGCATACCCTGCTGCAAGCTAATGGCACATCAGGGCTGGATATGCTTGAAAGTAATATAATGGTAAGTGCAAAACTTTCGTATGCATGAGAAGAGAATTGCTAAGTACTGCAATCCTTGTAACTGGGATGTACTGGCAGTGTTGTCCAGGTTCTGCCTTTTACCAGCTTTTGCTGCTTTAAATAGGTAGTTAGGAGAGTGGAACAGTGATAAGGATTTTTCTGTGTGCCTAACATGCTTCACTGAAATTCAAGAATGAAGTGAATTTGGTGATGTTTGGCAAGTTACACAAATTACTCTGCAATCAAGATATGGGCAATAGAAGGGGAGCACAATGGGTGATGAAAAACGGACATTAATTTAAAAACAAACTGAAGTTGATTTGTCTGATATTCTACTCAGACATTTGGGGCATCTAACTAGTCGAAGTTTGTAGCCACTTTAAAAAGTGCTAGAGTTCAAAATAATAATTTCCTTCTAAATTTAAAAAAATAAATTTAATAATTGGTGACTAGGAATTTGCTGTTTTCTAGTATTAGAAAAATATGACGTCGATCATATAAATTGTGGCTGAATTGAATTTTTAAAATTCTTCCTTTTAATATGGGCATTGCTGGCAAGATCTGCTTTTATTGCTGGTGGTGATGAGCTGCCTTTTTGAACTACTGATGTCCATGGTGGTATAGGTACACTAACAGTGCTGTTGGAAGGATGTTCCAGAATTTTGACCCTGCAGCAGTGACAAAATCCAGTCACAGTGGTGAGAATTGGAAGGGAACTTGTAAGTGTGATGGTATTAATGTCCAACTTTTGCCTTTATAATTTTGGTTGTTAGAGGTCTAGAGTTTAAAAGGGGGTTTTGAAGGAGGCTTTGTGAGTTGCTGCAGTGCACCTTGTAGATGGTGTACACTACTGCCACTGCATCTGACGAAATGAATGTTTATGTTCATAGATGGCTATCAATCATCAGATTGATTTTTATTTCCCTGAATTGTGTTGAAGTTTCTTGACTGTTGAATTGCAGTCTTCAAACAAATGGAGAGTTTTTCAACTCATTTGTATTGCAGCATTAAAATTTAGGAAAGATAAATGGCCCCATCAAATTGACTGTATTCAATTATTTTTAATGTATTGTAATTTTCTCTTCCACTTTATCTGTTGATTTCTCACTTTTAAGAAACACTAAATTGCTTCTCCTACATGTAGGGAAGAAAATTAGACTTTTTATTAATATCTTTGTAACTCCCAATTCCACTTTACAACATAATCTGACCATATCAAGTCGACTCAAATCAGCTACTTCTCAGTTTCTGGAAGGAGCGATAATTGCACAGTCATTCTAGTAAGTTGCATTTCTACTATTTTTGTTTCTTATGAAAAAATATGCTGCATGATTTAAAAATTCTGTCTTTCAGAGGAGGTGTTAAACTGAACCTCCATCAACTTATTTGTGTACCTGTAAAAGATTTCATGGCCACTATTTGCTGAAGAGCAGGAGAGTTCTCCTGGTGATTTCGCTACCATTTATCCATTAACCAAGACCTCTAAAATAGATTAACATGCTGTTTATCTCATGTTGTTTCTGAGACCTTGCTGTGTGCTAATTGGTTGTCTCATTTGCCTACATAATAACAATGACGACACTCCAAAAGCAATTCATGACTGAGAAGCATTTTAGGACGTCCTGAGGGTGTGAAAAGTGCTTTGTGAATGTAAGCTGGTTCTTTTTTTTATTTTGTACTCCGAGGTGATGTATGTTAGTGCTAGAGAATAGGATATTTTTCATTTTCGTTATCTAATGTCAACATCAAGCACTCCATAAAGCCTGCAAAATGTTTAGATGCAGTGTATCAGGAGCTGATTAACCAAGTTTATATTCAGTACTCCGTTTTCCATTTAGCCAGTGTAATTCCTTTGCCTTTGGGGAATGGAATCCCAGTGATCATCTCATTAAGAGTTAAAATTCTAAATTGTTTTTAAGATGAGCTAATTGTTCCTAGGGCCCACATACAAACTGGACGAGATGTTACTTTTGCAGGGCAGAATTCTTGGCAGTTTAAGTTTGGCTTATGCCATGAATCAGCATTAACCCCTTTCACGGTACTTGGATACAAGGCTGGTCTTGGGGTCTTTCCAATGAATCTTGTCCATTCTCCACTGCCTTGAAGTTACAAAGATATGTATTGATGTCCTATATAAAAAATATAAATTTACAGCAGAAACTATCTGAAAGGCCTCAAAATGTATTTAGAAGTAAAATTGCTAAATAGTCAACACCCAGTTTTTTTTTTCCCATCCCTGTCCAAATTTCACCCATATGCCCACTCACCCAGCACCCCTTTTGTTAATAGCCATTAACACTTTTGGTATTCCCTTTTGTAATTAAAAACAATGCAGTCAGTATGTTGCCATTTTCTTCACTTGAAGCATATTTTCAATTCATGACGACTTTTCAATTTTTACTTACATCAACTCAAAAGTTGAAAAAACGCAAAAGCAAACAAGAAGGCTTTGAAAATAGTTTTGAGAACTTGAAAAACATCTCCGTCACCCTCAAAACCTGTTGGACCTTCTGGGGGTGGGGCGTTGGAGAAACACCGTGGCAGAGAATCTTAGCAAGTCTGCCAGCATCTCAGCATCACAGAAGTATTACAGTGCAGAAGGAGACCATTCATCCCAATGTGTCTGCACCAGCTTTCTCAGCATTTTGGCTCACTGTACTCTATTGCTTTTCCCCTGTTATTTAAATAATCAACTTATGTACCTGTAAAAGATTTCATGGCCACTATTTGCTGAAGAGCAGGAGAGTTCTCCTGGTGTTTTCGCTACCATTTGTCTGTTAATCAAGACCTCTAAAATAGATTAACATGCTGTTTGTCTCATCCATTCTCCACTACCTTGAAGTTACAAAGATATATGTTCTATCCTAATGCCCTCATGAATGCCTCAATTGAATGTGCATCAATCACACTTCATGGCAGTGCATTCCAGATCCCAACTACTCACTGAGAAAAATATTTCTCATCTTGCGTTTACTTCTTTTGCAAATCTCTGTCCTCTGGTTCTTGGTTCCATTACAAGTAGGAACAATTTCTCCCCATCTAATCTGTCCAGATGCCGCATGATTTTGAAAGCTTCAGGAAGTCCCAACTTCTTCAATCTATCCTTGTAAGTGAAGTTTCTCATCTCTGGAACCATTCTTGTAAATCTCTTCTGCACTTTCCCCAGTGCATTTATGGCATTCCTGAAGCCTTCCTGGTGTACAGAACTGTACTTGGTACTCCAGCTGAGTTCTAACTAGTGTCCTATAATAGTTCAACATAGCCTCCCTACTCTGTACTCTATATGCCCCTATTTGTTTCATTTGAAACACATTTTCAATTCAGGACTTTTCCGAGTTTACGTATATCAGGTCAAAGATTGAAGAACTGCAAGAGCAAATAAGAGGGCTTTGAGAACTTGAAAAATATCTGCATAACCCTGAATGTCAGTTGGACCTTCTTGAGGTAAAAAACAGTGTAAATGAGACACTTAGCAGTTCTGCCAAGAGTACTGAATGCTGCTCTCCCTGTCTGTCCTGCTACCTTTAATTAATTATGCAACTAGGTGTCTATGTTCTTTTGTATTGAAATGTTTCATTTTATTGAACTTCATTTGCCATCTACCTATCCACCCATTCCACCAACTTGTCAATGCCCTTTTGAACTTCTAAACTGTCCCTTTCACAATTTTAAAGTGCTACCAAGGTTTATATTACAAACAAATTGATTTATCCCCTGCACATCAAGATCTACAAGATATGAGAAAAATCAAAGCTCCCAATAAAAAGTAAATCTTCTGCCAGACCAAAAATACCTACCCACCATTATTCTGTTTCCTATCCATCAGTCAATTTTGCATCTGGCTTGCTGCTGACTTTTATTCCATGAGCAATAACTTTCCTCAAGTATTCTGTAATACTGTATCAAATGCCTTTGAAAGTCCACGCACATCTCTGTACCGGTCTTGTCCTGATCAACGCTCTCTGTTACCTCCAGAAAAACTCCTCCAAATTAGTTGGTTCTTTGAAATTAACCAGTCTTTCTTTTCCCCATTTGACGACTGATCCTGTCCCCAGTAGCTGTTCCTAGACTATTTCCACCATCAAAGTTAAACTGACTGGTCTTTAATTGCTGGCCCTATCTTTACAACCTTCTTGGGACAAAGGTATAATTTTTGCAATCCTTGAGTTCTTTGACACCAGATTGAAAGATTAATGTCAGTGTGTCTGTAATTTTCACTCTTGCTTCCTTGAATATGTTTAGATGCATCTCATCCAGTTTTGTGCCTTTCCGAATTTTTAATATTAATAATTTATTCAGTGCCAGCTCTGTATGAAATTTAGACCCTGCTAGTGTCTGGCCATCTTCCTCTGACATCATGGCCTAGGCAGTATGTATCTCATAGGTAAAGATAAGAAAGTATTCAATTAACACCTCCCACTTGGAGGCTTCCTGCCTCCATGTATAAATCTCCTCCTTGATCTCTAATTGATCCTACTGCCTTTTACCACCCTTTTCATGTGCCTTTGGAATACATTGGGATTTCTCTATATGTTAGTTTCCAGTTATTTTTCAAATGCCCTTTGCTTTTTTACCTCCCTTCTGTACTCAGCTTGGTTCTCAGTTGTATTTTTCACTTAATTTTTATCCCCTTCATCCAGGGAGTTCTTGATTAGTTTGTCCTACCTTGCCCTTTTGAGGGAATGTATCTTGACTGTGCCTAATCTATTTCTTTGAAGGAAGCTCATTGTTCAGTTACTGTTCTTCCTGCCACCCTTTGGTTCCAATCAGCTCAGCTCTTGCTCTATTGAAGTTGGCTCTCTGACAGTTGATGTCCTTACTCTAGATTGTTCATTGTCCCCTAAACATTATCCTGCTGACGCTCATTCTACTTGGCCCATCTTATTCCCAAGAACGAAGTCTCGTAGGAAACTGTCCTGAATGTGAGCTAAGAACACTTTCTACTGTCTGCCCTACTTGATAATATATCTACTTGATAATATATGCAATATCTATAATTTCCCTGCAGATTTGATTCTCTATATCCTTCCCACTGGTTGATGTGCATAGATTGCACCAAACAGTGTAAATGCACTCTTTGCTCCTTGGGTCTAGCCAGTTCAATTTTGCCTTTTAATGCACTGGGTCATCCTTTTTCTCAGTGCATTAAAAGTGCTCTCCTTAACCAAAAACATCACCTCTCCACTTACTTCTTTACTATATTTTCTGAAAACTTTAAAACCAGAGATATTTAACCCTCCCCTGCCCCACCCCAGGATTTTGGACTACATCCAAGTATGTAGGTTCTACCTCAAGAAGAACACATGACTAACCAAAGCATTATGCAAATTATTATACTTGATTTCAGTGAAATAATGATGTTCCTTATTCTTTAAAAATGCGTAGCTTTATGAAAGTAATCTTACTAGCATAACTCACTTCTCATATGAGCTCAACTCAGTGACACATTTTTAAAGTATGATGGCTGTTAGAAATATTTTGTCATGTGAAAAGGTTAATTTGTTTCACTTTCCACTAATTCGGTGTTTCGCTGTTTTTTGCACACTCCCTTATTCATTGTCACCATTCGTAGAATGTAGAACGTAGAACGTAAAACGTGGAAGCACAGTACAGGCCCTTCGGCCCACGATGTTGTGCTGAACTTTTACCCTAAACCTAAGGTCTATCTAACCTCCACCGCTACCTTATACTATCATCCATATGCCTATCTAATAGCCGCTTAAATGCCCCAATGAGGCTGACTCTACTACCCTCTTTGGCAACGCATTCCATGTCCCTACCACTCTCTGAGTAAAGAATCTACCTCTGACGTCTCCCCGATATCTACCTCCTTTCACTTTAAAACTATGTCCCCTTGTAAAAGCTACCTCCACCCTAGGAAAAAGTCTCTGGCTGTCTACTCTATCTATACCTCTTGATCATTTTGTACACCTCTATCAAGTCACCTCTCATTCTTCGTCGTTCTAAAGAGAAAAGCCCTAGCTCTCTCAACCTTTCCTCGTAAGACCTTCCCTCCATTCCAGGCAACATCCTGGTAAATCTCCTCTGCACCTTTTCTAACACTTCCACATCTTTCCTGTAATGAGGTGACCAGAACTGGACACAATACTCCAGATGTGGCCGAACCAGGCTTTTGTATAGCTGGAGCATAACTTCACGGCTCTTGAACTCAATCCTTGTATTAATGAAAGCTAACACACCATATGCCTTCTTAACAACTGTATCCACCTGGGTGGCAGCTCTCGGGGAACTGTGAACATGAACCCCAAGATCCCTCTGCTCCTCCACACTGCCAAGAATCTTTTCCTTAACCCTGTATTCTGCTTTCAAGTTTGTCCTTCCAAAATGAATCACCTCACGCTTTTCAGGGTTAAACTCCATCTGCCACTTCTCAGCCCAGCTCTGCATCCTATCAATGTCCCTCTGTAACCTAGAACAGCCCTCCGCACTGTCCACAACGCGACCCACCTTCGTATTGTCCGCGAACTTGCTAATCTACCCTTCCACTCCTTCATCCAAATCATTTACAAAAATCGCAAATAGAAGAGGACCCAGAACAGATTCTTGTGGTACACCACTCGTAACTGAACACCATGTTGAATATTTTCTGTCCACTACCACCCTTTTGTCTTCTAAGGGTCAGCCAATTCTGAATCCAATCTGCCAAATTTCCCCCTGTCCCATGCCTCCTTACCTTCTGCATGAGCCTACCGTGGGGAACCTTATCAAACACCTTACTTAAATCCATGTATACCACATTCACTGCTCCACCTTCATCCATGTGTTTGGTCACCTCTTCAAAGAATTCAATAAGGTTTGTGAGGCATGATCTATCCCTCACAAAATTCATTATAGGATTGAATGCAATGTACTTATTAACAGTGTGTACACTATTACCTATGAATAACTTTGGCTGCTGAACAAACTCCTAACATGTAACCTGATCAGTTTACCACTCTGCTGGTTCACTGCATAGTTTCAGTTTGCCAAACCTATACAGCATCCTTTTTTCATAGCCAGTGGTTGTTAAGCCCTGTTGACATGCATCTGTGTTCTCTAGGCTTTGGTAAGGGAGTGTTTTGTGGGATGTGTAATCCATATAACATGTGCATGCTCTGTATTGAGTAGCAAGTTGTATCTTGATAGCATTGTCAAATTTGCTTAAAGTGTTATGATGGGTTTCTGTGCCACACCCAATTCTCAACTAACCACCCCCCCTCCCCACAAAAGCTAAAGGAGACATCATTATAAAAGTAAAGCAAATTTTGATTTATGACAGTATATCACTACCAATCAAGTTTACCATTTTCAAAACTTTTCAGACATTTAGTCAATGGTGCACATCTCTAAAATCAACCAGCGCAGGTTAAATGTTTTGAATTCTTGGGTGTTCATCAACTGCTAGAAATTATTTTTCTGAAACTTGAAGCTCACTGAAAGCCTACATTTCTGAACACTTACTTGAAAAACGTGCTGAGTTGTCTCCTTCAGATTTCATTAGGTTGCTGGATTTGCTTGTCAATCTGAAACAGTACTCTGAAGCACTATGGGCATAATTAAGTCTGATTTGGGATCTCTGAGCCTGCAGAAAGAAATTCATTTATGAGCCATGATATTTTGGAAGTGCGTTAGCAGGGTGCAGACCCAGCCAAGTTGGCCCCTCCCCAAGCAAGGCGATTTCTACTCCATAAATAGCAGAAGAAGAGTTATTTTATACTAAATAGGCTATTTTATGGTATATTTTTTTTGAAGAGTATAAATTTAACAGAGTAGAACACAATGCCATTTTAAACTTGAAGCATTAGAAAAGTATCTTGTTGTGTGATATGGGCATTGCAAATATATAGATTTATAGGTTGTTGGACTTGTGTTAACTGAAATTCAAATGGTTAATGCAAAAGCAGCACATTATTAACTGGATTGAGTTGTGTTATTTCACTTGTTTTGCTCTTTTCCAAGAATAAACCAATTATCACTATCGACCAACATTACACTAACTAGATTTCTATTTCTTAACTGGCAAATATTTGTCTTGCTAGATCTCTCCAGAGGTCCTGTGTAAGGAGGGGATCAAAGTGTGTCGTACTGTACAGCAGAGTGGCCAATTTATTATATGCTCCCCAGGAGCCTTCGTCTCCAAAGTGTGTTGTGGCTACAGTGTTTCAGAAGCTGTACATTTTGCAACTACCGAATGGTTAAATATGGGCTATGAAGCTGCTAAGGTAACAGACTTGATTTACTTTATACATCTAGCTTGAAATAAACAGTAATTTTTAATTTTTTTGTTTGGTGCTGCTGAAATGGATCTGTTATATGAGAAGGAATGGTGGGCAAAGCCATCTGCTTTTGAGGGTTATTGACAAAACGATCAATCATACCAGGATGGTAGGCATGACTCGATCTTTGTGAGGTGTAGTGGACTCAATTAATGCTCTAATCTGATGTGAGTAAGGGTGGACACGCTCTGTTCTACAATGGGAGGGGCTGTGGGACTGACCAGTGGCCTATGTCTGGGTGAGGGGAACGGACTAGCCAAATACCCCAATCCTATGTAACTGACTCTGGGCTTTGGGGAATTCAGCGATAACTTTACCTGTGTGAGTGACTGCAGGTTGTGTGGGTGCTGCTCACTGCCCTAATCCTGTTTCAATTAACATAATTAGAGTAACTCTGACCATCTTCACACTGTTTGGGTCTCAACTCATAATTTATTTTGCTACTGTAGCCTGTTCAGGTTTCTACTTGGAAAGCAAGTGATTGTGCTGAGCTGTTTGTTTATGCCCAAGCATATATTTTTCCTTTTATCTCCACCAGAGAATTAAATTTGATGGTCAGCATTTACTGCAGACGATGTGTTACCCGGGTCTTTGGTATACTGTGTATTTTTTTCTCTCCATCTAAGTGTTTTTGCTGTGTCTATACAGGATTTGAAACGGCGGTACATTGCTAATGCATTTTCAATGGAAAAATTACTTTACCTTATTGCAACAGCAGAGTCGAAACGAGAAAGTGGGTCAACACTAAGCCACATTTCTTCACTTTTGAAAGAACTCAGGTATATTTTTGTGCATTTAGTTGAAATATTTTAAGGTGAGAAAGGAAGCTTACTTTCACTGGTCAAGAACATTGAACGTAACTGGGGTTTTCCTTTACAAATGAATTCATTGTTAAGAGTACATAACATTAAAGCAATAAAATTGTGTTGTGGAACACTAGTTACTCATTAATTTTGCCCCTGTTTGTGCATAAAGGACAAGATAATGAAGTTAATAATTTGTAATACAAATGGATTCCATTTAATAACTCCATATCACAAAATCACAATTGCTATGGTACTAAAAGAGGCCATTCAGTCCATCATGCCTGCACCTAGTGCCAATCTCTCACCTTTACCTCATATATATCCCTACCACCATTTCATATAAATAATCATCCAGTACCACCTTGAATGTCTTAGTTGAACCTGTCTCCACTATATTTCCAGGCAGTATATTACATACTGTAAATACTTGCTGTGCGAAAAGTGTTTTTCCTCTCATCACCCTTGCTTCATTTGTACGTTACTTAAAATCTTTTTTTTCCCAATGAGGGAGAACAGCTTCTCCCTATCTAATCTAACCAGCCTGCTCATGATTTTGAAAACCTCTATCAAATCTCCTCTCAGCCTCCTCCTCTCCAAGGAGAACAGTCCCAACTTCTTCAATCTATCCTTGTAACTGAAGTTTCTCATTCTTGGAAGTATTCTTGTAAACCCCTCCAATGCATTCACATTTTCCCTCGAATGTAGTGCCCACAACTATACACAATACTGAGGTCATACATGTGTCTTGTACAAGTTCAAATCACCTACCTGCTTTTGTATGCTATTCCTCTGTTAATAAAGCTGAGACCACTATGCTTTATTAGCTGCTCTCTCTACCTGTTCTGCCATGTTTAGTGATCTGTGCACATATGCACCCAGGTCCCTTTGTTCCTGCACCCCCTTTAGAATTGTACCTCCTATATTTTTTTGCCTTTTGATGTTTTTCTGATCAAGTGCATCACCCTGCACTTCTCTGCATTGAACTTATCTACCACCTATCTACCCACTCCACTAATTTGTCTTTTTTTTTGGAGTTCCACATAGCCTTCCTTACTGTTTAATTTGTCTGCAAACTTTGAAATTGTCCCTGCACACTAAGGTCTAGATCATGAACATATATTTAGAAAAAGCAAGGGTCCCAAAAGTCACCTGCGGGGAAACTCCACTACAAATCTTCCTCTGCCTCAAAAAATATCTGTTGATTGTTACCCTGTTTCCTGTCACTCAGCTTATTTTGTGTCCATGTGGCTGCTGTCCCTTTTATATCGTGACCTATAATGTTTCCCACAGGTCTGCGTGGCATTATATCAATGCCTTCTGGAAACCCATGTATATTGCATTAACAGCGTTGCCTTCATCAACCCTTTCTGTTACCTCTTCAAAAACTTTAGCAATTAAATAAAATGTCCCCTTTAAAAATCCATGCTGACTCTTTGTAATCAGCCCACCTTCTTCCATTTTATCCCAAATAATTATTATAAGAATAAAACAAAAAAAACTAATGATGGTGGAGATCCAAATTAAGAAATTGCTGGAGAAACTCCATAGGTCTGGTCCCTTCTTCAGTTCTGTTTTCTCTCCACAGGTGCTGACAGACCTGCTGAGTTTCTCTAGCTGTTTGTTTTAATTGTTTCTAGAAGTTTTCCCACCATCAAAGATAAACAACTGATCTGTAATTGCTGATATAATCCTTGCAACCTTTCTTGAGAAAGGTTGTAATGTTTGCAATCCTCCAGTTTTCTGGCACCTCCCCTGGGTCCAGGGAGGACTGAAAGAATATAGCCAGTGCTTCTCCAATTTCTACCCTCACTTCCTTCAGAATTCTTGGAAGCATCTCACCTGGCCTTGGTCCCTTGTCAACTTTTAAGTGCGAACCGTCCATCCAATGCTTTTTCCTTATTAATTTGAGCCCTTCTAGTTTCCTCCTCCGTCACCATGGGCAGCATCCTCCTTTTTGTAAAAGACATATGCAAAGATTTCATTTAACACCACAGTTATGCCCTCTGTCTCCATTTGTAAATCCCCTTTTTGATCTTTGAATAGCCCTTCTTCCCCTTTTAACCATTCTCTTACAGTTTATATACCTATACCTATAAAATACCTAAAGAATTTGGGATTTCCTGTTGTGTTAGCTGTTAGTCTTTTCCCATGGTGCACCTTATTTGCTTTCTCACCTCCCCACTAAACCTTTGGTATTTCCGTTGATTCACAATTGTACTTTCTGCCTTGTACTTATAAGCACATTTTCCCTTTCTCATTTTAATTTCAACCTCCTTTGTCATCCTGGAATCTCTGGATTTGTTTATCCTACCTTTTTCTATTAGAGGGAATACACCTCAACTGAACCCGAACATCGGCTCTTTGAAGGTTCGGTTACTGTCTGTCTTGCCAGCCTGTTCTTCCAGTCAACCCTGCTCAGCTTTGTTCTTGTCCCATTGAAATCAGCTCTCTGCTATTTGTTTTTTCTTACTCTGGATTGTTGCATGACGTTGTCCAACACCATCCTGAACCTTCTGAGACAGTGATTACTGTCTCCAAAATGGTCTCCCACTGACTTGATTCACTTAGTCCACCTTGTTTCTAAGGCTCGGGTCTAAACAATGCATCTTTCCTTGTTAGACTAGGCAACTATAGCTTTAGGACATTCCTGAACGCAATCTACAGTTGTCCCTCACTGCGCCTTATGCTATTAGTATTCCTGTCTAAATTTGGATAATTGAAGTTTATTTTATTGTAACTACTCTCCAATGTTGGCATTTTTCTGTAATATCCCTGCAGATTTGTTCCTTTACATCCTTTCCACTAGTTGGTGGTCTTTTGACTACACTGAGCAATGCAATTCCATTCTTTTTATTTCCTATCTCTGCATAAATTAACTATGTTCTTGATCCCTCTGAGACGTCTTCCTTAACCGATACTGCACTCCCCTCCTTTAACCAATCCTATTAACTCCAGCTCCTTTCGTCCTTTTTCTATCTTTCCTGAACAACTTATAACCAGGATTATTTAACACTCCGTCTTGCCCTTCCTCAAACCAGGTCTTCCGTCACTCGCACAGCATCATAATTTCACATTGCTATCTGCGACTATAACTCATCAACCTTATTTACTATAACCTGTGTATTTGAATACATGCATGTTAATTCTGTTTTGGACTTGCTTTCTTTCTCCCCTACTCTGAATTAATCTAATAATTTACTATTCTCTGTGCTAGTGCCAAGTGTATTCATAAGTCTTTTGCAAGACCTAGTGTTAATGTTCTCCTGTACTTTCCTGGTTCCCATACCCTGACAAGTTAGATTAAAGCCCTCCCAATGGCGGTAGCAAAATGCCTGCAAGGAACTCGGACCCAACTTTGTTCAGGTGCAACCCATCTGGCTTGTACAGGTGCTATCTTTCCTAGACTCTGTCCCAGGAATCTAAAGTCCTCCCTACAGCGCCTTCTTTGTAGCCATACACGCATCTGCCTTATTCTCCTATTTTCGTATTCTCATATGGCACTGGAGTAATCTGAAGATTATTACATTTGTGATCCTGCTTGCTAACATTTCAACATAACTCTCTCAATTCCGATTGCAGGACCACATCCGCCTTTCTACCCAAGGTATTGGTGCCAATGTGAGCCATGACCTCTGCCCCCCCCAAAAAAAAAGCTTGCGCGCACACAGGCATTTCTGTAGCTGTTCTCTGATATTCCTGACCCGAGTAACCAGGGAGGCACCATACCATCCTGGAATCATGTTGATGGCCCCTTCCCCTAACTAAAGAACCCCTGCCCCCGCTACTGCTCCTCCTCCCCTCATGTAGTTGGGTTATTTGTGGTGCCAGAAGCTTAGCGCTCAGTGCATTCTCTTGAGGAACCAGTGCCCTCATCAGCTTCCAAACTGAGTTATTCAGTCATTATTCAGAAAGTTCATTATTCAGACAATGAACTATGAAATTGTGAACGATGTGGATCACTTGTCACTTTTGGATCTTAGACTGTACTCCAAAGCTTATTGGGTTTGCCATTTTAAGAAGCAACCACAGTTGTGTAGAGAAAATGAAAATGCCATTTGAATAAGATTTGTGATGTTTATCTAATCAAGATCCATTGCTTCCAATGAGTTGCCGAAACATCTTTATCTCAATATTTACTAAGCTATATTCTGTATTCAGAATTCATGTCTTTAAATGTGCTCTTCATGTTTTATTTGGCAGGTAAAGCCAGTTCCCCTGCTGCAACAAAAATTCGGGCAGTTCATGTTTTATGATTTACACATTCAAGAGAAAACATTTTCGACCTCTTCTACCCTCTACTCATAATTTTGTCGCTTAACATTCATCTGTGACCTTTTCAGCTAATATTGATGCTATACCCTTTTGTTCTGTTTTCATCCACTACCAAGACCCTTTTTTAATTTTCAGTGCCTTTCATCAAATTAAATACTTGTATTTTGCTTCCCCCCCATTATCCTTCAGTTCATCAAGAAAGGCCTTCAATTTGTGCTTAAATTTGAGCCTAGTAATGTTTAACATTGAAGTTTCTATTATAGAATCCTTAAAAGTTAGTGAAGAAATTAGGTGAATATCGAACAGTATTATTTGAATCATGATAAATTAGGAAATGTTGATGTACAAAGGGGTTTGGGTGTCGTTATACCCCGTTCGCTGAAAACAAGCATGCACATGCAGCAAGCAGTTAGGAAGGCAGAAAATACTTCTTGAAAAAAAATTAATGAGAAGTGAGCATCACTAGCTGGGCTAGCATTACCCCATTCCTAGTTGCCTTTGGGAAAGCAATGGTGAACTGCCTCGAACTGTCGCAGCCTTTAGGAAGGGAGGTCCAGTTTATTGACCTAACAACAGTGAAGGAATTGCAGTACATTTCCAAGTCAGGATGATGAGTGTCTTGAAGGGGAACTTGGCACATGGTGGTGTTCCCATGTATCTGCTGATCTTGCTGTTCCAGAAGATAGTGATTGTAGATTTGG